GTTTTAATTCCTCATCTTGGCAGGAGATTAATTTTCTTTCAACTAATGAATAAGTATTGTCGTCGAAAGAAAACAGAAAATAGTCTCTATCCTGGCCTTTGTTTTCTGTCAAACAAGAAGCAGTGTAGTTGAAGGATGAGCTCCCAAGAAAATAAAGTCACCTAATCTAATGCAATGATGTTTGAGGAATGAACATACCATGAATGAAAATGAGAGGGAATTTTTTTAAGGTTTTTGAACCTCAAAAGTATGCAGCACAAGATAGTCTTGCGTTTATTGCTACATGCTTCTGCGTTTCAAATTTGATTGGTGCTTTTTGATCAAATTAATTAAGGTGTACACGTAATTTTCTTACCTTTTTGTGTCTTCCTGATTAAAGTCCTGCACGTCATGGCGAAGAAAAAGTGCCCAGCGTCGGAAAAAAAAAACAACAAGAAAACTCTTGGGCCGCAAGGCTGGGACACGTCGTGTATCAGCTCAGCCAATAAGCAGGCGTGAAATTTCCCGCCTTTCTTTTGGCTGTCAATCAAAGTAGTATCATCCGATGGAGTGATCACAAATTTCCCGCTTTGCACGCGTAGCTGGCATTGCTCCTCTAGCGATCCTCGAAACGTCAAAACAAGTGAGATGGAATGGATTCGGACAGCGACGTCGGTGAATTAATAGAACATCAAGAATCTTGTAGCAATGGAATCAAGCGACAGATTTCAAACAGCAGCGACACTAGCGATGCTGATGGGTGTCAGAGAAAAACGAGACGACCAAAACTGAGGCGAAGACCGACACGACAAGTGCGTCTTCCTTCATGTAAACATCGCTACGAAGAGGACACTTCGGATGATGACGGGCTCTTTGATTCAATTAAAACAGTTTCAGATTGCAGCAAAATAGTTTCAGCAGCGAAAGATGGGTTTGCATCTTCAAATGAAAGCGAAAGTGGTTTAGCAGATCTTCCACGTCCGTATGTGCCGTATATAAACGAAGCGACCAACGATTGGCGATCTCCTTCGTCTCAAGATACAGAAAACGAGCAGTTGTCCACTTTTTCGGTTGATAGTGATTGTAGTGGTCATACAGAGATCAATGCTGCGGTTGTGAATGAAGAAACAGAAGATCAAACTCGCGCATATCTGTTGTCCAACTCTAGCGGTTCAAACGGTGAAGAACTCGATTCGTGCGACGATTCGAGTCGAAACGATAGCAGTTCAGATGATAGTGACAAGGATTCTTTCATTTCAGACGATGGAAGTGATCGCGCAAACGTATTTACGAAGAGCATTTACGAAGGATCTACTTTGTCTGTAGGTGCAAGTTGTATTCTCATTACGCAGTTTAGTCGCAAGTACAAGCTTCCCCGTAAAGCTCAGAATGATCTACTCGCTTTACTTAAGTTACATTGTCCTGAGGGGGTTGAAATTGCTTTACCCCAAACTTACAAGGAACTGTTAAAAAAGACTATGCCATCACTAGCCAACATTGCGAAAGTACGGGTTTGTTCGATTTGCACGAAAAAAATAGAAGGAGATGCCACGGAGTGTGAAGATGGACATCCCGTGGGAAGACCAACTAAAGAGGATTCATACTTCATCGAATTACCCCTGGAACCACAGCTGAAAATGATTATTGAAGGTAACCTTTTAATCATTATGTTATACGAGGTAGATAGAACTTAACATTACCAGAAAGTAATCAAATGCGCCTATGAATTTTTAACCTGTCAACGGCTCGCGGCGGGCATGACAACGCAGTCTGAATGTGAGGCTCGATCACGATTTAACCCATTGACTCCTACGTGTAACACGTGCCTACCCAAAAGTTAAAATTTTGGAGGAGCCGGAAAAGTAGGTAATTGTGAAGAAGAGCTCCCCAAAAAACCAGTCGGCCGACAGTCGGCCGACAGTTGGCCGTCTGTCGGCAGACAGTCGGCCGACAGTTGGCCGTCTGTCGGCAGACTGTCGGCCGACAGTTTTTTTTTTGGTAGACTGTCGGCCGACAGTCGACCGACAGTCGGCCGACAGGTTTTTTGGGGAGCTCTTCTTCACAATTACCGAAAAGTAAACACAATGCGCAGTAAAGTTTGACAAATCTTTTTTTCCCAAAAACAAGCTCACGTGAAAGAAGACCATTTAAATAACTTACTATCAACGAGGAAAGCAATAGATGCATATTAAGTTTTTACTCTAAAATCAAGATAAAAGATAAAAATCAGTAAATTTTTGCGCACGTGTGCAAAAAAAGTATGCGGATCGGATTTCAAAGTGAATATGCAAATTCATCAGTGTGTGGAGAGATCTCATGTTACATGGAAAGTATAAATGAGGAAAAAGACAAAACTGATCAAGGAACGTTTCGGGAAGAAAGCTTTATTCAAAACAGTTCTTGACTTTTTGTTAGAACCGAAAAACGTACGAATTTCTTACGTGTGCGAAACCCACGAAGTAGAATTCATCATGCTTAGATCGATGTTTACCTGACTTCACGGCTAGAATATTGTGCAGCGCTGTGTTGAAAATACTGAAAGTTCTACGTTTTAACACAAAATCTTCTTTTAAACAATACTTTTTGGACATCTCATTACTCAAACGTGATATTTACCGTGCCTTTGAATCTTCATAATGTCTCTAGGCCTCGCTTGAAGTCCGATAGTTTGGTTTTCGCTTTACGGCCCTAATTCGCATCGCTTTAGAGAATTGTAGTGTTGTCGACTCGAAGGCTTATTTTGTCGCCTTTAAGACCGTGATGTCCATTATTTTTCGAGCAGATTATTCTTTAGCATTTTTCTTTTTCATTTTGTGTTCCAGAAGGTCTAAAATGGTGGGAAAGGAACAGAAAATCCGACTTGAAAATATATATATGTTATTTGCCGGCTGGGAGGTCCGTATGGTGAAAAACTGTGACCGAGGTCTTGCAGCATTTATAAGACCGAGGTCACAGTTTTTCACCATATGGACCGACCCTTAGCCGATAAATAACATATTTATTGTTTTTAAACTTGACGAAATTCTCTCCGAAAGAACCCGAATGATTTAGGGCTGTAAATACGGCAAGATCTTCCATAAACTGAACAATTTTTGAGTGAGGAAATGGTATTTAAAATAGAGGTGATGCAAATTAAAGAGAGATGCCTCAGCGAAACATTTTCATTTCCGTAAAGATAAAGGTGATTTAAAAGGCTTCGAAACAAACTTTGAAACATTATTTTTACAAGTATCTGTCACAATCTGACACCTGTCAATTAGAGAGCGCGCAAGAGAAAAAAAGCGTAGGAACATTTGAAAAACATCAGAACTAGTTTGGCAAGGACTGTCACGACAATGTTTTCTTCAATGATGTCAATGATCTAACGGAAAGTATTATTCACTCTCATCGACCATTCACTCATGTACGAAGATTTACCTCTGTTCATTAAGTAAACGGCGAGGAAAGTAATTGTGAGTAAATTCAATTTTTTTAACTTTGAAGTTGTGAGAGTTTGCTGGTTTGTTTGCTGCAATGGCGTGTGTGACTCTGGTCTTTCCTTCACAAAAACTAAATTCGAACGGCACACTCCAACGAGACACAAGGGAATTTAATGCGGCCTTTTCTCAAAAAATTCCTTCAATTTCTGTTGTGCAATTTACGGTACAAATGTCTAAATTGAAGGGAATTGGAAAGACTTACCGGGAGCGTATATTTGTTGTAGAACTTAAATTAAAACTTCGCTCGCTCTTTCACTACGAACAAATTGCTCGAGAAAATTCAGATATTAAATGAATGAAAGTTCCATCGTTCAGTTTAACTGTAACCAAATACTTCACGTGTCAACTTTCTGGGTACTTTTTGTGAACGATTAAAATTAATTATAATTGCAGACGGTTTTTAGGCCGCGTGTCAACTTCGTAATGACACTATTGTTTATTCAAATTCATTCTGAAACCAATATTTTTCTGTCAACCAAATTGATTTGATAGAGAGAAAAGAGAGGATTCATAAGTTATTTATCGGCTTGAGGTAGTGACCGACGTGTTTGCTTAAAAATACTGCCCAGCCGGAGAACGAGGTATATTTATGAAAAAAATGACAACGAAAGTTGGGATGCACTCGGCGACTCAAGAAAGCGTTACCGTGGCCTGTGGGCAGAGATAGGAAAATACTGACCGGGTAAAGAACCAATCAGATTGCAGGATTCGTTACCGTGCCCTCTAAAAAAACAATAAAAATAAATATTTAATCAGTTGATTAGTTTATCAATTGAATCATCTATTGTGTCAAGGTATCATTCTGTGTTTAGATAAAAGAGAAAATAGATGAAAAGTTTCTCCTTTTTGTTTTGTTATTCTCAGGTCCAAATGTAATTGCTTTTCAGAGAACTTCTCAGAAATTTTTGGAGCTTGCAGAAAGCAGGTCCTGGAATGCACTGAAGAAGCAAGCTCTTATAAAGACATCACAGATGGAACCTTATACAAGAATTTTTACAAGGAAGTACACAGTGAAAGTGGAGATAGAACATGTTTTCACTTAAGTTTGATGATTAGTACTGATGGAGCTCCTGTGTTCAAGTCCATTCAGTGCTCTATTTGGCCACTATATCTGTGTATTTTAGAGCTTCCATCACAGAAAAGGTTCCTCTATTAATATTTTCCTATATTCCTGCTACTGTGATGCACACAACCTTTTATTATATGTACAATCATGTACAGTAGGTAGTTGATGGTCATTTCCATTGTCAGCAGATAAATTTATATGTGGAGTGGTGGCCATATTTTTTCACAGCATACATGCAATTAACCAATTCTTTTCCAAAACTGTACAGAAATTTTAAACTTGAAAGATAAATTATGTCTTGAGCAGGATTTGAACCCACTTTCACTGGAACCTAGCCAGGTATGATCGACACTGCACTACCAGGACAAGCAATAATTATTGCTAGCAACATTATAACTGATTTTAGCAGTGAATGGGAGTAATATATCGTAATGGAATTCTGAGCTCAGCTGTTATGAAGCTGGATTAACATGTGTTTCACAGGCCAACAAGGGCAAACAACACAAATAATAGACACGTTAATTACTTCTCTTGAGCCATGTTGGCAAAAGAAATGTTGTTGGCTCAAGACAATTCATTAATTTGTTATTACATTGTCAATATATATAATGGAATGTATAATTCATGTTCTCCGCCTCTCCATCTTTTAGTGATACTTCTTATCATTATATGTTCAGATATTCGGTGAAGAATGTTCTTCTCATTGGGCTTTGGTATGGTGTAAAGAAACCCAAAATCAATTCCTTTTTGGAAGCATTTCTTTGCAAAATTGGAATGCTGGAGACTGAAGGTAAACATTCCAAAAGTAGTTTTTGGCTCAACTTTATTTTGCTGTTAGAACACAAACTGCTTATCAATCCAGAGAGCTTTTATTGTTTACACTCCTACGTTAAAAAAAAATACAGAATCAAGGTCAGGAAAAAGGGAAACAATAACAGTAAGTTAAAGGTTAATCTGGAAACTCCATTTGGATTGGCAAATAATATTTTTTGTACATATTCATAATCATCAATAGCAATTTGTTGTTCCCACGGAAATTACTGGAGTGATGAAAAGTACAGCAGCATCACAGTTTTTCTTATCTTTCAGGTCTTCTTCTAGACTGTCACAGTCACACGTCCCCGCATTCTAGGAAAATAATGTTAAGACCTCTCTGCATTGATAACCATCAACTAGTTTTAACACACTTCAGCACCAGATGGTTAATTCATGTGAAGTCATCTGTTGTCTCCCTTGTGATATTATAGGTGTTTGGTGTGAAGGGGTTTTCAGTCCTTCACAACTACATGAGTGTTCCTGATGGATGTCCAGTTGACTACATGCATTGTATCCTTCAAGGTAGTTCATGTAACTATGTACATTTCAATGTTGCATTCTAAGGCATAATTACTGAGCTTTTTGGGAAATTGATTTTTGCAACAAAAATGCTTTAATTAAATTATAAAAACTTCCTTTAGTAAAATTGATTGAATATGATGCAATCCTATGCAATCAATTTAATTTTCATTTTGTTAATTGATGTGACCTTAACCCAATTGATAGCCATGAAGAATTAACGGTCATCAAAATTTGTTCTTGTTTTTATTAGGCACGGGAAAGTGGATTCTAAGTGCAATTCTAGACTCCAAGAATAACCCTTGCGAAATGGCTTTTGGAATTCCTAGGAATTCCTAGGAATAAAGGTGTGAATTTTCACGGTAAATTCGGACTGGGAATTCCTAGGAATTCCTAGGAATTCCCAACCATAACAACTCTGGTTCTAAAAACCTAGAAATTCCTAGAAATTCCCAGAAATTCCCAGAAATTCCAAGTTTGTAGCCAACAGGACTTGGAATTCCTAGGAATTCCTAGGAATTCCAACTCAGAGAACCAATGACTTTCCCTGAAAAGCTGTAAATCTAAAAAATTCCTAGGAATTTCTGGGAATTTCTGGGAATTTCTGGGAATTTTTGGGAATTTTTAGGAATGTTTAAGAATTACTGGGAATTTTAAGCGAAAATTTGAGGCTAATGATATAAAATAAATACTTTAAATTAAAAAAACCCAGCTAAAATTCAAGTATTCAATGAAATTTATTTAGAATCTTAATTAAGGCTTACATGTAAAATATTTTTGATTAATTATTAACATCAATGTGTGGTAATATTAGGATGGAATTTGATTTATTTTTCTTTTCTTGAAAACTTCATACGGATTAATCCTCAATTACAGCTATTCATATCAAATAGTTCTAATCAATCATTAAATTTGGTTTGACACAAATTGTGAATAAAATCTGTTGATTCTTTTCCATAAAATACAATATCTTAAGTTATATTTATATAGTTATATTCTTGGGAGTGAAGGGGCTAATTACAGACAAATAAAATTGATTTTTTGATTAAAATCTTGTTGTAACTGTAACAATAAATTAGAATGAAGTTATCCTAAACTGCAAACTTAGCTGCTGTTTGTACTGTTTGTATTTTTTTTCCTGGGCTCACAATGAGTTGGCCTTGAATGAGGTTGTCAACAAGAACCTTGACCATTTTGTATCTGGATTCCTTGACATCTGAATTTGAAAAAAAATAATATATTAAAATATGTATGTTTAAAGCTCAGACCAGGCTTCTAAGATGGCTATGAGGAAGGGCATTTATTGGATTCTCAAATTGAGAAATCTCTGTTATATTGAGTGACTTTTATATTGGAGTTAGTACATCTCTCTCATGGATTTTACTAAAAAAGGGCTGAATACATTATTTTGTTTTTACCAAGGAGGGCTTCTTTATGTACTAAGGTTTGTTATGAATCTTGAATGTTCCCAAACGTAACTAGAGGAATCTTGAAACCTTACTGATAGGTTTATTTCATTGTAAAGCATAAGCTTAAGAAACTGCGGCATGCAAGTGACCGATTAGATTCTCAGAATTATTCTAGTTTCAGTTGCGCCGAGCGTTATGTAAGCTTAATTCAACCCGCTACATCTATTCTTTTATAAGATTTTGATCACAACGAATATCGCAATTTTTACTCACCACAAACTTTCAAAATCGTAGCTTTACAGATGGCCACTCGACCCTTGTTTGTACCGGTCCATATGTCAACTGTTGTCCCTTCTTTTAACTCCACGGCGCCAACGACTTTCTTCTCTTTTACAACACTCACGCTATTCTCGTTTTCCCATTGAACCACAATAAAAGCTATCTTTAGAAATGTTATACTAAGCAAAACAGTTGAGAAAAGCGATCAACCGATGAAAAGTACATTCAAAGATGAGCGCCAAATGGAGTCTTCTTTGTTTCCGATCACGGGCATGATCACGTGGATCTTTTAGGACTTGTCATTACATACATACATACATACATTCTTTATTTGATAAGTAGGTTGTGTGAAAGGCAGCCAAAGGGCTGATGTGGACCTACTATACTAAATATTAAGAATTACATATATATAAAAATTGCAATAATAACTTAGAACTACTATATACAAATAAAATGGTGTTCACTAAGACTAACATATAAATCTAAAAGTAAATGAAATGGTCCTTTCTGTTGGCAACTACTGTTGCCTCTTTCTCAAATGAAAAATTGTCAATAGTCTTAACATGTTTACGTAAAATTTGTTTAAAAGAATAAAAACTTTCAGGTACTTTAACTAATCTATTTACAAAATTCCAAATAACAGGACCTCTGTATCGTAGGGAGTTCCTGCCGGTCTCTGATCTAAATCTAATGACATTAAATTGGTTAGGAACACGAGAAGATCTAGAAGAAACTCTTTTAGAAAACAGTTCACATATCGACTGGGTCGTTGTTCCAAAATATACTTTGTGCAAGAGAAACAGTACAGATTTTTTATAGAAGTAAGAGATGGGCAGCCAGTCGGATTTCATGAGACATGTGTCATCTGCCATCGTTGAGTCGAGGTTATTCACAATACGAGCTGCTCTTGCATGAATATGGTTTAGAGAGTTCAGTGCGGAAGGAGAACAATTTCCCCATACCGAAATTCCATACGTTACACTGGGGATAATTGTTTTAAAGTATATTTCCTCGAGAACCTTCTTCGGAAGGATTCTCATTCTCTTCAACGCTCCAACCTTCTGCGTAAAAGATTTCTTCACTGAGTCAATGTGCACAGACCATGTCAGCTTATTGTCAATTTTAACTCCAAGACAAGTGGTGTAATTAACCAGGTCGATATGGCCAGTGTTAAAGTGGAGGGGAGGTATAGGCCCAACAAAAGAGGTTTTTCTTAGTATCATTGCTTCAGTTTTAATTGGGTGGATGGTTAGCTGATTCTTAATGCTCCACAGGAGAACTTGCTCCAATGATTTATTTAGTGACAACATAACCTGGTCAACATTTGGTCCAATACAGTAAACTGTAGTGTCATCTGCATACATGTATAGATCTCCCGAGTCGATGTGGTCAGGGAGATCATTAACATATATGGTGTAGAGCCGGGGGCCAAGAAGCGAGCCTTGAGGGACTCCATATCGCACATAGTCAGTGACCGACCTGCAATTATTAACTTCAGCAAATTGACATCTATCAGTAAGATAGCTCATTAGCCATTCATGAAGAGATCCTGATATTCCAATGGCGTGTAGTTTATGCGATAAAATATAATGGGGGACAGTGTCAAAAGCTTTCTGGAAGTCAATAAAGACTGCTCCAACTGTCAGACCATTGTCAATTGCTGTCTTCCATCCTTCAGTCATAGAGGTAAGCATTCCTTCAGTCGATAGTCCCTTGCTAAACCCCCACTGTTTACAGCTTTTTATGCCACAGCTGTTCAGATGGGTATCAATTATGTTGCAGATCTGGCTTTCGAGCAGCTTGCTGGGGATACTTAAAAGTGATATTGGCCTATAATTTGAAACATCTGCTGGGTTTCCTTTTTTAAAGATTGCATTAACTTTTGCAATCTTCCATGTGTTAGGGAAGCTGGACTGAGCCATGCTGCTCTTGAAAACAGTTACAATGCCCTCTAGGGCGGATGTTCCTGCAATAGCTAAGCTACGAGAAGAGATGCCATCAGGACCAGATGCTTTGTTAATTTTAATTGTCTTGATATCAGTTTTGAGTTTGTTGATGTTGACCTCCAAGACCTGCACAGTGGGGGTAACTCTGTACATGAATTGATGGGGTTCATCAGCTTCGGGGAATTTTTCAGCTAGTTCCTTGCCAATATTTATGAAGTAAGAGTTAATCAGTTCAGCTTTCTCGTAGTCATTTGTGATTTCCTTATTTTCAGCATCTCTGAGGGGGCCAATATGTTTATTCTTAGGTTTTCCAGTGGCCTCGTTCACAGTTTTCCAGAAAGATTTTGAGTCCTTGGTCTCTGTAAATTTCTTTTTCCAATATTGAGCTTCAGCACGTCGTAGCATCTTAGATACTTTGTTCCTAGAGGATTTGTAATCAACCCAGAGTTTATTAGTAGCGGGTGTGCCATCACAGGCTTTCAGAAGTTTATATCTCTTATTCATCTCTTTCCGGATCTCACTGTTCATCCAAGGTAGTGAATTTTTTCTAACCTTGGCTTTACGTAAGGGAATGTGACTGCTTGCAATAACATTATACATGCAATTCCAAGCCCAAGTGATGTCATCCAAGTCCTCAAAGGTGGAACAGACCCACCAGGGAGCACTTTCCAGGTCATGTTTGAAGTCTTTCGGGTTTTCCAACACGTTCTTGAAGTTGTGGACATATTTAATAAAAGGCTTTGGATTCCTGATCTTCAGCTTGTAGATAACGTAGATGAATTTGTGATCAGCTATGCAATACTCAATCACATCAGACTTTGAGACCTTTGAGGTATTGATAGTCAAAATCAGATCGATCAAAGTGTTAGAATGTGCTGAGGTTCTTGTGGGTGCTTTTATGATGTTACAAAAGTTATAAGATTGTAAGATGCGTTTGAATTTCGCACCATTTCCATTAGTAGCAAGCTGATCTGAATTGAAGTCACCAGCGATCACAACATTCCTGCGAGACATCCAAATTGTACTCAATACTTGGTTGAATTCATCAAAGAAAGATGTAACGTCAGGAGGTCTATATACACAACCCACAAGTAATCTTTGCGAGTGAGCTTTCAATTCAATCCAGAGAGCTTCAATGCCGTCGTTGTCATATTTGGATATACGTACACAATCTAGGCTAATGTTAAAGTAAATAGCGACTCCGCCTCCTACTTTGTGTGACCTATCTCTTCTCAGAATTCGGTATCCATCGATGTTTACTTCGTTATCGCTTATATCTTGTGTCAGATGCGTTTCAGAAATGGTTAGGATATCCAGGTTGGTATGCTGTAAAAGTATTTTCACTTCGGGGAGGTTCTTACGGAGGCCTCGCACGTTCGAGTGACCGATGGATACTCCTTGCTTTCCATTGTCTCTCACCACGTGAAGTGCATCAAACAGAGGGGAAGCAGGCCCCGGGTTAGGACATATGTCGCCACATAGTTGTAAATATTCAAAGTTGAAGCTTGCATCGGAGTTGCTGTAGTAGTTGACTCTCGAATTCCTGAATCTGACTCGAGCTTTCCACACGAATCCAATATGGCGGATATTGAGTCGAAACAAAATGGATGATATCGGTTTCAAAAACCAATGATTATCCCAGCTTTGCTTGTTTACTTTGACGAGGCGCATATCTAATCCGATGTGTGCATCTTTGCCACTTGAACATGCCAATATGTACAGAGAAAAGCCAAAAAGAAACCAAAGTATAGGCGAACTAAAAATTTTGCTTCTTCCCGCCATGATGACCGCTCTCGAAACTCACTTGAGTTGTGTTAATGGCAAAGGTGAGAAATAACACAAGCCAATCACAGTTTTGAATGCGACTACAAATCGTCTTTTACCCTCATATTTATAAAAGAAGGATACCACATTCGGAAGTGTAACGGATACATAGATGATCCCAGTGTACCAGTACCTAAATCTACAAAGCTTGACCGTAGCAAGCGTTCAGCAACACGTTCCAACACCGCCGTCTCGATTCCTCAGTCAGTCGTTTCCACTGAACTTAAAGCAGTATTGACAACAGAGTAGAGTGCGTCTTACAAAGGAGAAGCATTTGTACAAGAGACAGGAGTAGCTATATGCGATTACAGAGGTGCGTTGGAACTCTGGTCCACAAATAGTTATGCACTGCCCGAAGTATAAAACAATTTTGTTGATAGCTGACAGACAGAGAAGAACAACAAGTAAACTTATGAGCTGTTATTATTGAAGTGTGACTAGCACTTTTCATTTTTATATAAAGAAGGACTTGTAATTTGCACCAAAAATAAAAAGATGTAATATTTTTTTGGGAGATCCAGTGATTGGGACATTTAAGAAATTAAGTTATGAAAGGAAACTTGGTTGGTACTTCTCACTACTAACAAGTCTTGTTGACAAATATTTTCAGATCAGAGTTTCAAATAAAGTAAATTGAAGACGTCATATAAAAGGTGTTTTTCCTCAAAGGGTACATTGACTACCTCTGTCTTGTCTGCATGCCAAATGTTTGCAAAGTGTGTGGATGATCCACAAGTATTGGAACTCTTACAAAAATGTTTTGTAAGAATAAAAACAGCAAAACAAATTACAGCAATTAGTCATGAAAATAGAGCAAAAAACTGAAAAAAAGCAGCAACAACAATCATGAAAAAAGAAAGATTAATTAGGTGTTGAATTTGTTTGTCTAAGGCATGAAATTTCTACTAAAAGTATTGTCAACAAAAAGTCTTTGACAGCGTTTGAGGCAACTGAGCTTGACTGTTCCAAGGTTTTCTAACAAAGGCAACCAGTAATGTCGGTTAGGGAAGTAAGATAACAATATAATTATTGTTAATTATTGTGGAAGTTGGCAATTTCCATTTAACATAACTGACAGCTGGTTCATGAGAAAATCCATATTAATGTAAAGATTTACTAAAACTTAGTTTGAGTAATAAATTTCATGATCTTTAAGTTATAAACATGTACATGTATGTATATC